CCCCAGCTGTCCTGGAACTCACTATGTAGACCAGGGTGGCCTTGAACTCACAGGGATCCGCCTGCCTCTGCCTCCGGAGTGCTGGGATCAGAGGCGTGCGCCACCACGCCCGCTTCAGTGAATTTTAAATCATAACTACACTCAAGCAGCCCTTAAGCAGATGGGAACCATTACAACCAATACATTTTGATCAATGAGAAATGTTTATTCCTGTAGGGTTATAAAGTCCATGCTTCAGGATTCTCCAAAGTCTTAGAAAGTGTTTTCTACATCCTACCATTTCTGGGAGTGTTTTCCTTGCAAGGAGTTGTCCACATGAAACGCTAGCAGGTGATAGAGGTCACATGACTGGGGTGGAAGAGGCAAATCTTTCTTGTTCAGCGTTTGAAGGGTTGGTGGTGCATGTGTGGTTGGACGTTATCATGGAGAAGATGCCAGCCTTTCTGTTGATCAGTGCCTGCTGCGGGCTATGCAGTTTGGGTAGCAATTCTCTGAGCACACTTAGATGTAACGGTTTCACTGGGATTCAGAAAGCTGCAGTGGAAGAGACCAGCAGGAGACCACCAGTGACTGTGACCTTTTCTGGTACAAGTTTGGCTTATGGGACTATTAAGAGAGTCTTCTGAGGCCAGCCTCTGAGCTGGTCATCACTGGTTGTCATTTTATAATCCATTTTTCATCACATTACAATCTGATCAAGAAACAGTTCCTTGAGTTCCTTCAGTCTCTTGGGGACTGAAGAGATGGCTCAGTGGTTAAAGAGCTTTAGCTGCTCTTCCAAAGGACTCAAGTTTGCTTCCCAGCTCCTACAAGGCAGCTAACAACCATTCTTAGCTCCAGTTCCGGGAATCTGACACCCTCTTCTGGGCTCTATGGCATTACACAACATGGGTGCATTTACATACCTGCAGGCAATACATTCATGCACATAAAATAAATAAATCAGCTGGACATGGTTGCATGTCCTTTAATCCCAGGACTTGGGAAACAGAGGCAGATTTCTGTGATTTGAAGGTCAGCCTGGTCTAGTCTATATAATGAGTTTCAGGCCATCCGGGGCTATATAGTCGTCCCCCCCCCCAGTGTTTTTGAGATAGGGTCTCCCTATAGCCCCAGCTGGCCTGGAACTTGCTGTGTAGACCAGGCTGGCCTTGAACTCACAGAGATCCACCTGCCTCTGCCTCCTGAGTGCTGGGACTAAAGTTGTGGGCCATCATGCCCCGTTCTTTTTAGGTGGGGCCGACCTTCCTGTGGGGGGTCACGGGGCTCGGGTTCCCTTTTTCATAGAGGATTGGTCCCCTCATTTGGGATTTGTTGCTCTTTCAGCCAACAATATCCTAGCCAGCCCTTTTATTTGTCTTCAGGGGTTTCTCTGTTGTTACCTTGTTTGCCCCCGCCATTAGCTCAGAAAGGTTTTTGCCCTCGAAACCTTCCAATTTTTGAAGTTTTTGTTTTATGTCTGGAGCTGCCTGATTTACGAAAGTCATATTGATGGCCATCTGATTCTCTGGGGCCTCTGGATTTATGGGAGTATAAGTTCTGAAAGCCTCTAACAGGCGTTCCAGGTACGCTCCAGGAGACTCATCCCTTCCCTGCATCACCTGACTGACCTTAGACAAATTGGTGGGGTGCATAGCAGCTGCCTGGAGACCCCCCCATAAGAATCTAGCGATAGACCTTTAGGCGTTCCCTACCTTCAGGGGTGTTATAGTCCTATCCCTCTGTTGGGCGCATGAGAGGGAAAGCAGCTGCAATCAAATCCTCATTCTCTGTCGGTCGCCCATCATTTCCAGGGACCGTGTGTCTGCATTCCAGAAGGATGCAGTTCCCTTCCTCAGTGGTGAACAGGATATTTAATGACTGTTGGCAAGTTATTAAACTTGCCAAATGGGTTGGTGGGTAAAAAGAATAGTATCCAGGAGGGAAATCAGGGGCCCAAGACTTCTCCATGTAGGAGGGAGTCTGTAACTTCCAATTATACAAGTCACTAGTAGAAAAGGGAAAGTAGACTACTGGGGAAATTCCATCCTCCCTCAGGGGCCCAATCTCCCTCAAGGGAAGAGCTCACACAATTCTCCCCTCCCCCCACATCAGAGTGTGCAATGGGCTGGGCTTGGCCACAGGAGATGCCGGTTCAGCCATGGGAGCTGGGGACAGAGAACGAAGGACTGGAAGAAGAGGAAGATGCTCATGACCTGTGTTCCCTAGGTCTATCCTGAGCACTCACTGGGGCCCCCATAAGGTGGCAGGAGTAAATCTTCCTCTGGCGCCAAGGGAAGGACCTGGGGACCCGATGGGTTTTTGGTCTGGACTTTCTTCAGGGGAAGCAAAGTGGCTGGCCCCTTAGGCCCCGATGGTGGGGGTGGCAGTAAGGGGCGCAGCCAGTTGGGGGGGGGGGGCGGCAACCAGATATTGCCAACCTAGGATGTATGGGATCTGGTCAGGGTGCCCCAGTTCCCCAAAGATAACTCCTTGAACCCTGTAGATAAGGGACAGGTTGAAGGACCCTTCAGGTGGCCATTCAACTTCAAAGGAGGGCCATTTGATGGTGCATAGATAGGGTCTGGAGGCGGGTCAGCTTGACACGGAGTCCAGACATGTTCAAAGCTGCTCATTTGTAGTCCTGAAAATGACTAAGAACTAGATCAAGGGGAGCTGAAGATGATGAGACTTTCTGGCCCATCGTGGAAAAGCTTCAAGAAAAAAGAATATAAGGAGAGGAATGAGAATGAGAAGAAGTAGGATGGAACGTCAGTAGACAAGGCAGAGCCCCGAGCAGAGGGTGAGAACAGTATGAGATGGCAGCTCCCTAGAGGGAGAAATGAAAATCTTGCAGCGAGGAGGCTGCCCCTGTTCCTTTCCCAAAAAGATTTGGCCAGCCCGGATTTCATGTCAGACTGGGCCAAGACTCTGGGTCGGCCCTGCCTGGATTCCATGTCAGACTGGAGCATGACCCCTCAACAGAGGAGTGTCTCCTATTCTCCTCCAGCTCTGGGATCAATACTGCATTCGCCTGATTGCTGTTGAGCCCCAGGATGTCCAGACTACCGAAAAGCAAGAGAGAGAGAGAGAGAGAGAGAGAGAGAGAGAGAGAGAGAGAGAGAGAGAGAGACAGACAGAACTCACCAAGGCCGCCTCCGGGGGCACTCCCGTGGGTCGGGGGGGGAGGGGGGTCTCTATTCTCGAATCCCAGACGAGCCCCCACAATGTTAGGTTTTGAGAACTGAGAATAATTCCCACAGACACCCAAAAAGATTATACAAAAAGTTTATTTAAGAATTTAAAGTAAAAAGGACAACCAAATGGCGGCTAGCCGGGCATAGACTTCAAGAGCCAAATATGGAGTCTGGCCCCGAACAATAGCAGGCAGGAGCTTTTATTGGGGCACTCCACAGAAACCTGCATGTGCCAAGCATTTTTTAAAAATAATTGGATGTCCCCATATCCTGTGTACGGGGAAAGTCTTGATTGGTAGGGACTGTCTTCAGGGCACTGGAGTGTGCTGACTAATATCTTTTAGAGTCAGAAGTTTTTGTTCATACCTTATAAAGCTTTTACATGTACAATATGCCTGAGCTTGTCTGGGCTTGTCTAAAGAAGCTAGCCAAAATGGAGTCAGAGCATTCTGGCTCTTTAGTTAAGAGTGCTTGCTGTACCACCATGAGCCCTCAGTTTGGATCCCATCACCCACATAACAAGCTGGGTGAGGCCTTATGTAACTCTAGCACTGGAGATGGGGTGGGTGGAACATGGCTGGGGCTTGCTGGTTAACCAGCCTAGCCAAAATACAAGAGTGCCAGGTTCAGGGAGAGACCCTGAATCAAAAGATGAAACGACTAAGGCAGAGTGATAGGGGAGGGCATCAGATGTGTTCCTCAGCACACGCATGTACCCCCACACACACATTTGGTCAGTGGTCTATCTTCATCTAAAGTTAGAAAACAAGGGA